TGAGAGACTGGTAACTGGTGGATGTGAGAGGCTGGTAACTGGTGGATGTGAGAGACTGGTAACTGGTGGATCTGCGAGGCTGGTAACCGAGGCTTGGTGTAATCTCTCCTCTCATGGTTATTGGTACTTATAGGAAGTTTTCTTGATACCGATGATGGGTTCTTGATATCGGTGATGGGCTCTTGATACCGGTGATGGGCTCTTGATCTAGGTATTTGGATTGATTTTTCCCTCCTTTAGATCGAGCTTGATTGTCTTACATTTCCGACTTTTCAGGCGCAGTATGACCCTTACAGATTTAGCACTCGCCATGAATGTAATACTCTCATCACGACATTGACGTGACTGTGCTGTGCGTCGACATGCATATCACAGGCACACACATCTCATACACACATACGAACACTACATCACACATCCATGTCGACACACACACCAACAACTCACACCCCACCACACCACACACACACACACACACACACACATCCACACAACACACACACACACACACACACACACACACACACACACACACACACACACACAACACACACACACCTAACACAACTCTTAAAATCTCACTTCTCCACTCCATCTCTTCTCCCCACTTTGTCCTCTTAGCCTTTATTTCTCTCCTTTCTGCTCTTTCTGTCTGCTTTTCCGCTTCTTCACGCCCACTCTTCACCAAGAACCTCTCACCAGTTCCCCATCTCCCCGCTTCTCTCTTGTCCGTCTCCCCACCACCTCTCTTTCCTCTCTGCGCCCCATTTCTCTCTGCTTCCGTCTCCCACCTCTTCCTCATGTTCCCGTCTCTATCCCGCGGGTATCGACAAGTTAGACAAATATAGGCTGGCATATGAAGCTCTTGAATGAAGGGATATTAATGAATGCTAAATAGAAAGAATTTAAACGTAGTGGCAGGGAAGTTGAGAAAATTGTGGAGCTTAATGTGGCAGACCCACCCACTGTTATGAATAAAGTTCCCCTATTGATTGATGGTTTAAAGGCTGGACTCTGGAGGTAGAGCTCAGCTCGTGCAAGCCAGTAGATGTCACTAGCTGTCACGTCACACTCATCCTCGCTCTCAGTCATACAGGAGTCTTGTAGAGAAGTATCAGCGGAGAGAAAAAACTCGCCGGTTTTAGAGCGGATATGATACGGTTCAGAAAGCCAGAAAACTTATAACGAAGGTTGCGTCAGATTTTTTAAACTCACCCCTTCCCTCCCACAGATATTTGAGTACCGAAACAAACTGACGATAGCGTACACTTGTCAGCGAGACATTTAACACCATATTTTGGAAGAGCTGGAAAATACAGAGATAAGGTTTGGGTTGCAGGGAAAGTCAACACGTTGCCCGCCCGTGTGTTTGTCGCTATAATGGATGTATTAAGTTGAGAAAAGGGGGGAGGGGGAGGAGAAGGACGCCGGGAGGAGGGGCAGGCTTGATGTACGCACTGAGGTGTACTGGCCTAGTTGTTTGCAGGGGTAGATTCATAGTTCCTGGCGCCACCTCTGAACTTTTGTCGACAGGCTCTGCTGATATAAACCATACCACTGGCGGGGATAGCTGGATGAATCTTATTGCGGCTAGCTGCCCAGTGGCTAACGTGACGGTCTGGAGTTTTGAGACTTTCTGATCGCGGGTTCTATCCCCACCCATGGTATGATTTGTTTGCAATCGTGTCGTTACGATTTCGTGAGTCTGCTGACATCTGGCCTCCAGGGCAACACAGACACTCTTGAAACTGTGTATAGTGTTTGCCTCTCTTACGTCTTCATGCCGTGTGTTCCACTAGTTCACTATCCTTGTACATCGTAATCACGTCTCCTGTAATCCATCTCTCGTCCGGTTGTCATATTCAATTCCTCTTAAGCTCTTCTCAAACTGCACAATTTCAATTTTTAAAATATTTAAGTTGCAAACCTTTAGATTTCTTCATTCTTTAGGACATGGTCAACTGAAGGCTTCATGCTGGTGTTGCTTATTCTAAGGTAGATCTTTTGAGGTTCTAGAAGGCTTTACATGGCTGATTTGTTCTTCTGGCGGTGCGATGTAATGTTCACTACCAGGTCCTTTACTGTCGAAGTTTGTAATTTCTCATCCCAGTGTGTACACCATCTCCGGGCTCCCAGCTGCTTTCCCTCGCATCTGTGAGGATTTAATTCCAACTGCCACTTTGCTGGCCACCCCTACATCGTATGCCTCCATGGCTCTCTCTTCTTTCCAGTTTATAATTTTTCTCCTACTACTTTGACTTTATCCTCAAACAGATGCAAGCAAGACACGGTTCTCTGGTATGTTATTTACATACATCACGAGCAGTGGAAATGGTACTAATCTTCGGTGGTATCCCGATGTATTGCTCTTGCGCTTGCCTGTGTGCACTTGCCTGTGTGATTACCTGTGTGCGCGCATATGCGCGCTTACCTGCGTTAGAAGACCAAGTTACTTTCCCAGTGAAAGGCGCTGAAACTTAGTTTAGTGTCACAAAAGATAACATTGAAGGTTAGAGCAAAAGCCATAAATTTAAGTCTGTGACAAGAGAGGGAGAGTATTTTTGTGCGGATGTGGTAAATGGTGGAGAAGAGATAAAAATGGAGACTAATGAATTACCAAGATATGAAGGTGTCATGTAAGAAGAATTGCGGCGTTCACGACTTTATTTTAAACGAAGATTGTAACGAATCACAGTAATGGATAATGATGAAACGAGATAGTAGTGAACATATAAAATGTGAAGAGGTGAAATGATAGGGGAGAGGAGGGGGAGGGGAAAGGAGAGAGAGAGATGGAGGGAGGGGAAAGGGGAGAGAGAGAGGGAGGGAGGGAAAGGGGAGAGAGAGAGGGAGGGAGGGGAAAGGGGAGAGAGGAGAGGGAGGAGGGGAAAGGGAGGGGAGAGAGAGAGGGAGGGAGGGGAAAGGGGAGAGGAGAGGGAGGAGGGGAAAGGGAGAGAGAGAGGGAGGGAGGAGGAAAGGGAGAGGGAGGGAGGGGAAAGGGGAGAGGGGGAGGGAGGGGGAAGGGGAGGAAAGAGGAGGGAGGGGAAAGGGGAGAGAGGGAGGGAGGAAAGGGGAGAGAGGGAGGGAGGGGAGAGAGGGAGGGAGAGGGAGGGAGGGAGGGAAAGGGGAGAGAGGGAGGGAGGGAAAGGAGAGAGGAGGGAGGGAGGGAAGGGAAAGAGGGAGGGAGGGGAAAGGGGGAAGGAGGGAGGGAGGGGAAAGGAGGGGAGAAGGGAGGGAGGGGAAAGGGGAGAGGGAGGGAGGGAGGGGAAAGGGGGGAGGGGGGGGGAGGGGAAAGAGGAGAGAGGGAGGGGGAGAAGGGGAGGGAGGGGAGGGAGAGAGGAGGGAGGGAGGGGAAAGGAGGGAGGGAGGGAGGGGAGGAGGAGGGAGGAGGGGAAAGAGGGAGGGAGGGGAAGGAGGGAGGAGGGAGGGAGGGGAGAGGGCAGTTCTCTGGCAGACCCTGGTAAAAAATGAAGAAACTGTTGAATAACAAAGAAAAAAACTTGTGTGTAGGGGGAATTCCTTGAGAGGGTACACACTCACGCACGTGCGTGCGCGAAGAGGCGGGGCCAGGAGCTGTGAATCGACACACACACATTCCCTACCCCTCTCTTCTCCCTTAAGAGTTAAGTGCTCTAGATAAGTCTGTGTAATATAAGATAAATATATGTGCTATGCACAGCTGGTTGTCTGTCCTGGCAGTGTTCTTGCTACTTATTGAAGCTATTTCTCAGTCTGCTCTGCTCAGCGCTCTCGTAAAGGGTAATTTTAGTGTACAATTTGGGAGGTGATAATGGTGACGACTGGATCTGTAGAAATATCTCCCTCTTTGAGACATGCCTACTGCTGCTTCCAAGCAGCAGGGCTTCTTGTAGGCAATGCATCTCACGGTTTTAAACCCAAAATTAGATTTTTCTTCTAGTCTAGGGATTTGTTAAAACAAAACTATCTTTACTGAACAAATATTTTGTGCAATTGTATTTACAGCCCGCATGATAGTCACATGATATAATATAAATAGCTAATGCCTGATTTACAAGTCTGTTCTTTATGCCAGTTGTAAGTTAATCACATACAAATGATTATTTTTCGTCCAAGGCCGTACTTATCATATATACACGAGACTATAATTGATGACGCGCACTAGCATCAGTGCGCAGCTTGCACCTGATCCCAAGTCAACAAAGTGTGTGGGCGCATGTGTCTGTGCACAGATACCACATAGTCTGACCAAGTCTTCAGTGTATAGTACAGTGTGTTGACAAGAGTAGCAGAGACAGAGTAGAATAAATCTTTGTCTTAGAACATGCTGTGTCAACAAGTCTGGGCAAATATTAAGTCATTCACTGCTTAGTACGCAGAAGCAGAAGTCTTCCTGAAACTGAGTCTGTACTAGATAGTGCAATAATTAGTTCAATAAACCAAACATCAGTAAAGACTAGCAACATCCAAAACGAGATAATCAGTTCCAAGACATGTAGTGTACTCCACTTTAGCACACATTCCGTCCACACTGGCCAGATGCATCAAAAGATTAAATCCCCAAATTGCTTTACAGCGACTGATGTCGCAAGAGTTACGTTGTGTCCATGTTTGTAATCACTGGAAGTAAACGAGGGATAGCGCCTTCATCCTTAGTCACCCTTCAAAACTGTTTACATCTTTCACTCAGGTCTTCATCCCCCCCAACCAGCACTATATATATATACTAACCCTTTGCCGCAGCTGCTACCACCACCTAACCACTCACCATAACTACCCTCGCATCCAGTACCTAGATCCCACCACAGCCACTACCCTCACCCAGTGCCACAAACTTCACTCAACCCCACTACTATCACAACTAGTCTTACCAATACCATGCAGCCCTCACCACCACATCAAACACTAACCAGTCCCACTACCATCACAACCACTCTGGGTGTATTTCTCCATTAGTATGACTGTTGCTTAACTGTTTCATTATGCTCTGTGGGTTAGTGATTTACTGGTGCTTTTCACAGCGTTTATACAGATACCTTAAATGAAGGCCATGGCTCGCTAGTGATCAACACCTTGTGTTGAAAACTGAAGAGTAAATTATTCGAGACAAGAAAAACTGAACACGGTGTAATATACAATGAAAGTTGGTGTGATAAGCAGTGTGTGATAGTCTCGTGGCTTCTGGTGGTATAGTAGTGTTGAAGGAGTGGTGGAGCAGGCAAGATGCTTTCCAACAAACAACGAAGCATCTCCTCGTCTGGGTCATGCAGCGAGCCTGATGACGTCTTCTGCTGCGGTGGGGCCGATATGAAGGTGTGTGGTGGAGCCTTAGAAAGACGGGCGGTATTGGTTTTGGCGGGACTGGTGGAGGAGGCGGTGGTGACACCTCTGGCGCCCCGAGCCATGAGTTGCGTGGCTGCCTACCTACAGGGGCTCAATCCCCCGGCTGCTGACCGCTGTAGTGACGGCGGTGGTGGCCAGCCGGCCGCGATGGCTGCCTCTGGAGTACCACTGGGCGCCACTGGACCACGACCCACTGCTGTACTTGCTGCAGCTATTGGGGGAGCGCCTCACAGCTCTCACCTACACCTGCCACCCACTATCCCGCGAGCCCCTCCTGCAGGCCATCTCCGCCATGCCTGCCCTCACCACCCTTAACCTGCCGGAGGCCGCTGATGACAATGCACTAGCGGTGGTTGGCGCTGCCTGTCATATCCTCGTCACACTCTGCGTACGCGGCTCCAAGGCTGTCACTGACGACGGCATCCGTCGGCTTCTGCTGCGTCGTAACACCTACACACGTTCCCGCTGGTTCCGACTATTCTCGCGGTGGCGTGCTTTGCGTGCGTCTCTTTCGCGGCAACAAACAAAGTACCGGCCACTACCCGCGTCCCTCAGCGAGAACACGCTACTGGTGCCCCTGGATCCCGAGCATCTGAACCCCCTCAGTGCCACACTGATTCATCTCGACCTCGGGGGCACCAAGGTAAGCAGCCAGGGCGCAGAATGGGCACGCGCAGTGCTATCACCTCACGCCTTCGTCGACGCCTCCCACTCTCAACACCGTTCACTGCGCTCGCAGACCTCACTAGAGGACCAGATGGCCAAACTGCTGGCTCCTCTCACCCCGTAAACACCAGCAGCTACACCACCACTTGCAAAAACGACAATTTCAGTAGTTTCCACTAGCAGTAGTTTAGAGTATGATGGAGTGTTTAGCCTCGCCACAACAGTGCTTCACTGCAGTTATATATTTTTATATATACATGCCAGCATACATACACATACACGTGTGCACACGCAGTTAAGTCGACGTGTCACTCGACTGTGCCTTTCGAAGAGCTGTAAATATTCTGTAAATGTGGCATAAAAACGCTTAGAGCAATATCTGCCGCTTGCGTGTGCCGGCACCAGTTTTAAAACACTCAGAGGATTGTGTATTGTACATAGGTAAAAACCTGCTTCTTGATGTGTAAATAAAATAATACATGCATAAAGTTCATTACTCGGCTTCGAACGCCGCACAGAAAATGGCGTCTGCTAGCATGCAACAAATGGAGCCTTCAGAAAAATAGTGGAGGATGTGGATGGTACCGGAGAGGAGAGGATGAGGCGAAGTGGATGAAGACATGCAGAGGCACAAGAGAGGAGAGGTGGGCGAAGAGGTGATGCGCAGGAGCAAGGGAAGGTTCTGAGAAAGAAGAAATGCCGGGGCTGGTAAAGGTAAAAGCAACATTTACTGGTCAGCGCCTCCGTCACTACTACTGATGCCTATTACCAGGTAAGAGTTCTGCTCCACTCCACTAACTTTGTGTGTGTGTGTGTGAGAGAGAGAGAGAGGGGGGGGAGGGAGGGGAGAGAAGAGGGAGGGGAGGAAGGGGAGAGAAGAGGGAGGAAGGGGAGAGAAGAGGGAGGGAGGGAGGGGAGAGAGGGGGAGGGGGGGAGAGAGGGAGGGGGGGGGAGAGGGGAGGAGGGGGAGAGAGGAGGGAGGGGAGAGAGAGGGAGGGGAGGGAGAGAGAGAGGGAAGAGAGAGGAGAGGGAGGGAGAGGGAGGGGGGAGGGAGGGAGGGGAGAGAGAGAGGGAGGGAGGGGAGAGAGAGGGAGGGAGGGAGAGAGAGGAGAGAGGGAGGGAGGAGGGAGGGGGGAGAGGGAGGGGAGGGGAGAGAGGGAGGGAGGGGGAGGGAGGGAGGGGAGGGAGGGAGGGGAGAGAGAGGAGAGAGAGAGAGAGAGGGGGAGGGTAGAGAGAGAGGGAGGGAGGGAGGAGAGGGAGGAGGGGAGAGAGAGAGGGAGGGGAGAGAGAGGAGGGGAGGGAGGGAGGGAGGGGAGAGAGAGAGGAGGGGAGGGAGGGAGGGGAGAGAGAGAGGGGAGGGGAGGGAGGGAGGGGGGAGGAGGAGGGAGGAGGGGAGAGAGGAGGGAGAGAGGAGAGAGAGGGGAAGGGAGAGGAGGAGAGAGAGGAGGGAGAGAGAGAGGAGAGAGGGGGAGAGAGAGAGAGGGAGGGGAGGGAAGAGAGGAATGGAGGGAGGGAGAAAGGAGAGAGGAGAGAGAGGGAGAGGAGAGGAGAGAGGATGAGGATGGAGGGAGGGAGGAGTAGATGGAGGAGAGAGAGAGAGAGAGGAGAGAGAGGGAGAGGGGAGGGAGGGGAGAGAGAGATGAGGAGGGATGAGAGTAGAGAGGGAGAGGAGGAGGGAGTGAGAGAGGTGAGAGGAGAGGTAATGGAATGAGAGATACTGGGAGAGGGTGGGAAGAGTTAGTAAGTGACTCATCTTTGCCCACTCACTCACCCACATCAATATACGTGACGTCAAACATGGCTTGACGCTTTAATTAAAGGAAGTCATTGATGTCTTGAAGAATACGGAACTGGGGGCAGTTTGCGCGAGCTCTAGTGTACACACCTAGTTGTGTGTACACTGGTTGAGACAGTGCTCCTGGTACCGCTTAAAATTCCTCACGAAAAGTGTCAATACTATTCGTGTAAAATGCTGACGTAAGATACGCATAGTTTATAAAAGTTTTTATCTTGTTTTATGACCTTGTAATAACTCGCATAATGGGTGTAAATGGAGTAACAGGAAAAGTAGGAATATAGTTTTATTTTTTAAAATACAACTCAAAGAGCAAGTCAGGAAATTAAAGTGAGAAGTCCGCGTGGTGAAACACTGTGACCCACAAGATACAGTACTCGTCGCTCTAGAAAATCTTCTAGTGGATCACAGAAAACATACTGTTTAGTGAGGACATTTTTCAGCTACCGCATTATGAAAATGAAGAAAATAGTGAAATAGGGTTCAATATGAAATTGTGGGATAGAACGGGAGAGGAATGTTGGGATCCTGGGGTTAATGTGGGAAAATCATTGTTCAGGCAACACAAGACTGTTACTACAAGGACACTTGATAAATTAGTTACATGTGCAACACTTGGGTATTTTTGAGGAAACGTTTTGCGAAACATGGCTTCATCAGTCCTATACAAAGAAGAATGGCGAAGATCAGAATGAGTTTGAGGTAATCAGTTCCTCAGTCTGGAGTCGATGTTGTCAGTCCATCAGTCTTGACAAGTGTTGTACATGTGTCTAGTTTATCAACTTGTCGATTCTCTGAACCATTTATCTATATACAAATACGATGTTAACCTGGATCACAAGAACCTTCAAACTGAGATGTACAGCCACTGATGATTCTCTGTTCTGTAGTATTGTTGTGCTCTAAAGTTCTTATTTAAAAAAGTCGGGCTAATTTGCGGATGTGGAGAACATAGTTTTTTTTTTTTTTAATTTTGATAGTTAATTGTAATGTGATAAAGTTTAGACAGTAAGGTGTCGACCATTACCGTGTTATGTAGTCTGAAAGAAAGCACACGCTTGAGTGAAGGATCTTTGTCCAGTGAAATCCTTGAGCAGCATCCTTATCTACATAAAATAATTCTCAAGAGGCATCACCCACAATAGGTAAATTTTCTTTCACTTATTTAGTGTACTCTGTTTCTTGTTGTACAATAAAATGATGCCTGACCAATTGCGTAATTTGTTTACTCAGCGACGTTAACCGGCTGCACCTTCTACACCATTAAAAAAAAATCACGTGCCTTAAATATCCTACAGCAACTTAGTCTGGACAGTGGGCACATGGGTCTGTCCACAGTTATTAAAAACGCTGGTATAGGCCCTACTCTACAAAGATGGCTTTAAGGCGATTTCAGAAACTGAAAGCACTGCCTTCCCGAATTTTAATATTTTTAAATTTTTAAGTAGTATGATTGCTAAAGTCTGATTGGTCAGACGATCAGCCAGGAGAACGGGTCTGGGACCGGGCCGCTGGGCAGTGAACCTCGGAATGAAGAATTACACACATTTGCAACATCTGTGTATCTTTATTATAGACGTTTCGCTATCCAGTGGCTTTATCATTACAAATCCAAGGACATAATATGAAGACAGTAGAACTATATACAAAAGATGAGGTAATTAGTCCCTCAGCCTTGGAGTTGGTGAAGAGCACCGTAGTCATGAAGAATCTTCACTCTTCAAGACTTCACACTATGTCCTTGAATTTGTATTGATTAAGCCACTGGATGGCGAAACGTCAACAATAAAAATACCCAGATGTTGCACATGTCTAATTCTTCACCTTATCGGTATTGTATACCATTCATTTACATCCTCAGAATCGTCTTCAGGTAACACACGGTTTCACAACTATTACACAGTTTAAGAATAGATCGTTCCTGCGTCTCACAATTGCTGGACCAGTTGGAACATAAAATGCAGATTTTATGTTCCAATTTGCAAATGTCTCCGATGTGTGATCATAGTGTAATAGCAAACAAAATAATAACTGGAAAGTGGGAAAATGGCTGTTACTGTGAAGAGCTCTCCTCAAGGAACACTACTCACCATGTATTCTTTCTTTCTGTTGTCTGACCTGGACAAATACATAAACCATAACATATAGCACTGTATCATCCTTGCAGCCGATACTATATATCTGAGAATAACATCCATTGAGAACACAGATCTCTAGGGGGATGGCATGGTAAACTGTATTAACCTCGGTGAAAAACAGGGGTACAGTACTACACTAAGAGGTAACTTTGTAGTATAAAAGGTCTGAGACTTTAACGTTTCTCATGAAACCCATGTCTTAAGAGGAAACTTGACAAGTTCGTGAAAAAAAGTTCCTAGTCAGCCTGGTTATCATAATTTGAGACTGTGCCGTGGGGACGATGATCCCTGAACCCATCATCAGGAAATCTTCAGAATTCATGGGACCCAAATTATATTTTCTCTTAAAACTGTGTATGGAATCAGAACCCATAATTTGTGTTAACCCGGGGGTGTCAGTTCTTGGTTACTCTCCCCGAACCTCAGGTTTCGTCTGCCGGCATCACTGACTTTTGAGCCCTATAATACCTATCATATCCACTGAAAACATCTAGTTTATTTGACTTCCTTACTGCCCAAATAATGAAAACTGTACTTCCTAACATCCTTTTCACTCACTCTTCTATGTTCCTCACTATCTGACCCACCCATTTCCTCTAGAATGTACTTAAGACTACAGGAATTGAACCTGACGACCCTGGAAAAGAACTAGGAGAAGCATGATCATGACTTACAAGATGGAGGAATGTGAAGGCTTACTTAGCCCTGTAACAACTTCAGTCAGTATTACCAAGGCTGGCTCCTCCTCAGGAAAATTAATGAATAGAAAAAGGAATAATAACAATGATAAACACTTCCTTATTTAGAAACAGAAAATGTAAAACAATAAAACATGAATGGGTATCCTAATTGAAAGAAAAATGAAAAATGAAATGAAAAAAAATTACATTTGAACTCAATGCTAATATAGGTATATCATGGTAATGGGGGTGTCAGGTGTTGGTGACACTGTGTTGTTGAAATCGTAGCCATTGCTGGTGTGGCGGGGGGGGGGTAGCAGGTGTTGGTGACCACCGGCTCGTTCTTCATAGAGTGTAGCCATGAATAATTACTTCAGATGACAGGAACACAGGTTCATTACCACTGCTATGATGAGGGGTTAGGTCCTGTGTTGGCTTACATAACAGGTAAATAGGTTAAACATGGGAAACACCCTAAAGGATTTTAAAGTCCGTTTTCCTTCTATTTTTCTCTTTTGGGTTTGGGCGGGTGACCCTCCCCTGTAAAACCAACCCTGTAAAGAGAAGGATTCCCCCACTGCTTAAGAAATCACTCTCCATGTTTAAGTACAAAAAACCTAAAAGATGGGGTTTGGATTTTTAAAAAAAAGTTAAATTTAACAGTTTTATGTAGGAATTTTTAAACATGTTTGGGAAAAACCGGAAGCGAGTGAAAGTTTGACCGGGAGCCCCACCCCGGCACTTTGGGGAGGGGGGGAAGGGTTTAGGGGGGAGCTAAAATTGTCCCTACCTTAAAAAAGGGGCACCGGGGCCAAAATAAAAAACTATCATTTTCCCGGGGGGAGGGGAAAAAAAAGGGGGGGTAAATTTGGGCGGGACCCTTGGGAATTTCCCTCCCAAAAAACAAGTGGGCCCAAAAAACTATTTTTTCCCAAAAAAAACCATTTTCCCCTCGCTACCCCTATCAACTTTTCCCTCACCCCCTTCCCCCATCCCAAGATTTAAAAAAAAGGAGTATAAAAAAGAATAGGCGGGGGAAAAAGGGTTCTAACATGGGGAAACCCGAAATAAGGCAACAAATTTTCTACGGGACTTTTCATGATTTAAACCAGTCAGAGAAAAATTTGGAAATGAACCTTTGATATACAAAATATGGAAT